GCCGGAGACCCCTCCCCACAACCCGCGGGCTGCCGTCCTCCGCACTCCCCGGACTGCCCAGCTGGGCGGGGGGGGGGGGGGGGGGGGGGGGGGGGGGCGGGAGGGAAACGAAGCTCCGCCTCGCCGCTGGTTCCGTTTCCGGCGCGGGGAGAGAGAGGGAGAGAGAGAGAGAGAGAGAGGTTCCCACCGGGGTCCGCTCTCCCCGTTCCTTTTCCCTGGCGTTGCATTGGCAGCGGCCGCCGCTGTCAACAAACCCTTACGTCACTTCCGGCAGCCATGCCTTTCCATCGCTTTCTTTCTCTCCCCCCCCCCCCCCGCGCCCCTCGGGGCGCCGCGAGAAACGCCCCCCCCCCCCCCCCCAAAAAACAAATCACTCCGGGAAACAGAGGCGGATGCCAGGGAGTTCCGCCGCACTTCCTCGCCACCAAGCAGCCCACCTCACCTCCTTGGGGGGTGGTGGGGGCTGATGGGGGTTGTAGTCCAACCCCTGAAGTTGCCCTGGAATGAGCTCATAATCCTCCCCCCCCCATCCCCCCCACCCAAGGATTATGGGGCCGTTAGAGAATCCTTGGGCTACCTACAGGGGAAGGAAGGCAGCCTCAGGATTGTGGTAGGCAATTCCCCCCCTTTGTTTAGGCTGAAGAGAAAATAGGGTTTTTTTTTTCCTTAAGGGGAGGAGAAGGTCAGCCCCAACTGCTTAGGAGGTGTGTGGTCAGAAGCCCCCCTCTGCCCTGACAAGGATGTATTTTGCACCCATGACCCCAGCTGAGCAGCCTTCAAGGGCAGCCCTGCCTAAGGCGCATTGCAGTAGTCCAGGTACCTTTTGCTTGATCCCACTTTATAAGAGCTGCTTCAAGCGTTTCCTCCTTCAAATGTTTGGAGGGGTACGTCTGTTGGACAGCAGCACCAACAGTCAGACAGACACTGAATGGATAGATTGACAGATATAGAATAGATAGATAGAACACATAAACAGATGGATAGATCGACCACTATACAGAAGACATGGATAAGATGGATGGATGGATAGACAGACAGACAGACAGACAATAGATAAGATGGATGGATGGACAGATAAGATAGATGACATGGCTGGACAGAGAACATGGATAAGATGTATGTATGTACGTATGTATAGCTGGATGGATGGATGACATCGATAGAAGACATGGATAGAAGGCATGGATGGATGCATGGATGGATAGATAAACATGAATAAGATGTATGGAGGATGGATGGATGGGTAGGTAGGTAGGTGGATGGATGGATGGATAGATTGCTCTCTTACACACATCTACATAAGTACAAGATATATACATTCAAACATGTATACCGTATATATTTTTGCCATCTGATATTTTATTGATTGATTTATCAAATTTTTACACTATCCATCTCACCTAAGTGAGTCTGGGCGTTGTTTACAAACAACGTAATAAAATAATATAAAAATATGACTAAAACACAGTGCTGTAAATGTCTTAGCCAAACTATTTTGCATATTTGCCTCTATGGGGCCTTTAATGAATAATATATAGTGTTATATTATTGTAACAACTGAATGACCAGTATTAGCAAACACAATACTTAGTGTACAAAAAGCAACGAAAACAAAGCCTACAGCCATATTGTTTAATAGTATTATGCATATGAAGGATGATGTATAATTAATATATAAATTGTTATGCATCTTATCTTATACAATGTATAAATTGGAAATTGCTTTCCCTGTTGCTCAAAAATGGTACTAGATACTGATCAAAGATCACGGGGTCCAGGGAGTGACTCCCAAATAGAGTTCCCCATTCATCTGGGGTGGCTAGACTCCTTATCCCATTATCCCCACCCAAAAAATCCTGCCTCTTTTTGTTTTATTATTTAGAAAGAAGCACTTATTTGCTTGTAAGATTTTAGGAGGGATCACAAAGTCAGTTTGGCCATCAGGCTTAGCTGTAACGATTGCTTGTTGAGATGTAACTCAATGTAGGGTTTAAACCCAACAATGATGGCTTGACAATCATAGTTAGGATCTCCTGACCACACAGATCCAGCTAAGATCACAAACAGCCAAAATGAATGTATTTAAGTATTTGCATTTTGGCTCATGGTTGCTGGGGGAGTCCAGCGGGGAGGATGGGAATTATAGTCCACGTTCTGGAATGGCACCGTGGAACCCTACCCACCACAAGAGACGATGCTGGCTGTGGAGTATAGGCAATGAAGTCCAGGCTCTGCCAAGACAGCAGGAACTTTGCCAGATGTGGAGCATAGGCCTCGGAGTCCTGGCCCCCAGGGGGGAAAAAAGTGGGGAAAAAGTCTGTGCTGGCTTGGATCAATAGGCAACGGGAGTCCCAAGTTCCCCCCGCAAGACAGTGGCCACTTTGCCAGCTGTGGAGCATGGGCCACGGAGCCAAGGCTCTCACCCACCCAGACAGCTGGGACTGCTGATTGTGGAGCGCGCAGGCCTTGGAATGTAGGCTGGCCAAGAGGTGGCTCATGGGCTCTGGAGTCCCGCCCGCCCGCCGGAGAGGAAGGAGGCAGGGCGAGCCTCAGGGCGAGCCGGCGGGCAGCCGAGCTCCTCCTCCTCCTCCGCCTCCGCCATTTAGTCCTCCCGGCGGCGCGCCGGAGCGCCCGGGAGAAGCGGCGGGAGAGTCCGGGCCGGTCCTCGCGGGGCCCGCATCATGTCACGCCTGCACCGGAGCAGGTAAGGAGCCCCCGAGGGGATGCCAAAACGGGGGGAGGGACCCCGGCCCCCCTTTCCCCGCGGGTGCATTGCAAAAATCCCCCCTCCCTTCCCAATTGGGGCTGGTGGGGGGGGGGACAGGAGGGAAGGGAAGGAGGGCTTTCGACCCTGGAGGGTGGGGGGCGAGCAAGCCTTTGCGGGCGGATGCAGAGACCCCGGGCAAGTCGCCTCCTTCCCTGCCTCTCTAACGGATCGGCTTTTTCCTTGGCCCGAGGGCGAGGATGGAGCCACCGGGCGAGACTCTGGGAAGGCGCCTTGGCAATCCCGTGTGTGTTTGTTTGTGTGTATGTGTGTATGTGGAGGCTGTTGGCGAGCGGCTCTCGGGTTTCTTTTGTTCTTTCTAGCATTCTTGGCTGTTTTTCCTTTTTTCCCCTGTTTCATTGCCCAAGTAAAAGCAACAATGAATCAAAGAAAAAGGAAGCTTTTTTCCCCCCTGTCCCCGAAGGCCGTTTTGACTGCATTTCCCATTTCCCCCCCTCAAAATTAATCCTTTGCTACTCCTGAAATTACTACAGTTGTAGAACGAACTGTGTGAATGGTGTGGTGGGCACACACCAGCTCTTTGCTGATTGTTTAAAACACACACACACACACACACACACAGAGAGAGAGAGAGACAATAGTTTGCTGATTGTTTAAAACACACACATACAGACAGTCAACTAAAGAAAAGTGTACCGATTTTTACTATAGAAAACGGAGTTTTTCGCGCAAGGATGCTCTTGTGTTTGTGTGGGTGCTCCTTTAAAAAGTAAATGTGTATTTGGCCAAAGTTTTAAGAGGACCAAAGAGCCAGAAGATGGTAATTTGTGATTTGAGGCAGGGGGAAGTTGCTATTTTTGTTCAGCGATTCTTCATGTGGCCATTTAAGGATTTTAAACATCTAGGATACCGGTTTTTTTTCCAACAAGGTGCTACTCAGATGTATTGTCCCAAGATATCTGGGGGGCAGGAGGGAACGAAATACAGGCAATCCTCGACTTACAACCGTTCATTTAGTGACCGAACTTATAACAGCACTGAAAAAAGTGACTTAGACCATTTTTCACAATGACAACCTTTGCAACATTCCCAGGGCCACGTGGTCAAAATTCAGATGCTTCATATTTATGACCGTTACTGTCCCTCAAGATCCTGAGATCTTCTGGCAAGCAAAGCCAACAGGGGGAGTCAGATTTGCTTAACAACCGTGTGACTCACTTAACAGCTGCAAAGATTCACTAAACAGCTGGCAAGAAAGATCGCAAAACTCACCTAACAAATATATTACTAGCAACATGAATTTTGGCCTCCATTGTGGTCGTAAGTCGAGGACCACCTGTATAGATCAGGGGAGACATTGGGACTACGGCTGTTCGTGATAACAGTTCAGGCGGGGGTTTTTTTGTTTTTGTTTTGCACTCAAACTTGGTTTAAGCTCAGATAAAAGCCCTTATCTGCGGGTTTTTCAGTTAGTTTCCATGTGGCCTTGGGGGCAGGGAGTACAAATAATATTGCATGCTTGTATTTTGGGCCTCTTGAGTGTTATCCCACCCTGAATGGGATAATAAAGAAACTTTATATGCATTTAGCTAAAACCACAACCAAGTGCTGTGCCTCATATTGAGTTTGCAGCTTCCAGGTTGCTTTAGGTAGCGCGAAATCTTTTGTGGTTTCAGCGTGTGGGGGGAAGCTAACAGCCTGGTCTGGGTTGTGTTTCCTGCAGAATTGCAGAATTTGAAGAGATCCTGAACGAGCCCAACATTGTGCTGCAAAAGCTGCGGGAATTTTGTTTCAACGGTAAGGAGAGAGGGCAGCGGCTTGGCCTTGCAAAATTTGCACAGAAAGCTGGCCTTACAAGAGAAGCGAGTTTCCACTGTGAAAAGTGACATGAAATCATAGGGCTGGAAAGGGCCTTGGAGGGACCCTTTTCTCCCTCTTTTTACTATGAAATTCCCAAGTAGGATTTGACAGTCCTCTGCCAACTGGTGTTTAAAGGCCAAAGATCACTGAATTGCTACCTCTATAAATATTTAACAGAAAATGTTCTTGCAAGCTTAAAAATGCCCTATGCGTCAAGTCCATTTTTCTTCCTTTTTTCTGATGTAGAAATGCATTGTTGTAGTGTGGCCATCGCTTCTTTAGATTGGATTATGAAGATCTAGTTTAAAAAAAAAAACTGTACCCAATGGTGAATCTCTTTTCAAGCCACCTTGCCTCTAAAGCTATGCTTCTCACTGCACCATTGTGTGCATGAAGATGAAGCAGGGAGTGCCAGAAGGAGTGGAAATTGATTTGAGAACATGAGCCAGGCCCTGCTGGGTTGGACTTCTGGACCATCCAGTCCAGCCATCTGTTCTCGCAATGACCCACTGACTGCCCATGGAAGCTCACAAGCTTCCCAGCAGATGATAGGAAGGAAGATGATGACAATGATGGAGGATGAAGAGGGGAAGGAGGAGAAGCAAGAGGAGGAGGAGAAGGGAGGTGAAGAAGAGGAGAAAGCTGAGAAAGGGGGGGGGGCGAAGGAGGAGGACATTGCTGGGTTATGTACCTGTTCCATCCAGTCCAGCCATCTGTTCTCACAGTGATGCATTCTCCCAGCAGGCAGCCTTCAGAGGTGGCCTCACTGCTCTCCATCCCAGGAGCCAGCACCCCGTTTCAAGATAGCCAATCCCAAAGCTGAATTACGCATTGCATTAAAAATATACTTTCTTTGGTCAGTCCTGGTTCTTCCAAGATTTATGTCAGTTTTTCCAGCGACCCTCCATTCCACCCAATAACTCCGAGGCAGACGTCTTCTCAAAGGTCCCTTTTTATTTGGATAGTGAACTGGCACAACTGGAGAATCCCGAATCTGAAAGTTGCAGTCTTTCTCACAATAAGTAAAAACTGCAAATCCATCCCCTGCACCTATCATCACATCACGTGGCCCAATCACCGCCTGTCCCAAGTTAAGACTTCCTCTCACTTACGTGCAAAACAACCTGACCTTGAATCAGAAAAAGAATGTTGTTATGTCTTAACTAGATATATACTCCAGTAAATTCCCCCCTCCCACTTTCCCAGGCTCAAATGTGGCAGCATCTGATCTCAATACGGCTTCCAAAGCTGACAATTTCACTCCACTGGGTGGCCTCTGGTTCCAGTATTTTGAGCAGGGGGGGGGGACAGCTTCTTCTTGTCCACTTCATCCCTGCCGTGGATAATATTGGGCACCTCCAGCATCATCATCTCCTCTCCTGTGCCCCCTTTCTAGACCAGAAAGCCTCCCCCATGTCATAAGCTTTCCTTTAAGGGGACCTGCTCCAGCCCCTGGACTAGCTGAGTTGTCCTCTGAACCTTCTCCAGCTTCACTCAGTTCTCTCTGAGGTGGAACCTACCCGTGAAATGTTCATCTCGCTCCTTAATCCTTCTTGAGGCTGCCATTTTGAAAGGGACTCGCGTTTAATCCCCTGGTTCTTCCATTTCACAGGGATTCCCTTCGAAGGGGGCTTGCGCTGTCTCTGCTGGAAGGTAAGTCCCTCCTCATCGAACAGCATGGCTTCACCTGCTCATTTGATTTCCCCTTTGCGTTGCTGGGTGTCAGATCCGTTGTATCGTGCAGATAGTTCCTGATTTACAATCGTTTCTTTAGCGAGCATTTGAGAAATTTCTCTTGTTAAGCAAGGCGGTCATTAAATGGGTTTTACCCCCTTTTATGACCTTCCCCATCTGAAGTTTTGATCAGTGACTATGGGGGATGCTGGAATGGTCGTAAGGGTGAAAAACAGTCATAAGTCACTTTGTTCAGGGCCATTGTTACCTCTGGTCATTAAAGGAATGCTTGCATTCCTGTATTAAATAAAGAAGGGTTAATGGCCCTGGGGAAAGGCTGGTTAGCGAATTGGGGAGTTCAGAATACATTTTCCCCCTATGCAAATTCTTTTACCTGTTTGCCTTTTGCAGATCCTCTTAAACTACCTTCCTCTGGAAAGGGGGGCTTGGAATTCCCAGCTGAGGAAGCAAAGGTACCTTGAACAGTTGGCCTCCTCTCCGTCTTTCCTTCTCGGCACGGATAATCGGAACTTCCCTGTAGGAGAAAGACAGGCAAAAACCAGGGAGGTGGAGTCAAGAGAGGAATTAGCCTGGAGCCGTTAGGTGGCCACAAACAGTCTAAATCCAACCGCTCTTGAATGACGTTAATCGCAGTTTGCTGCAGCCCCTAAAAAAAGGCGACCAAATCCTAGGCTGCATCAACGTGGGGGATAGAATCAAGATTGTGTGAAGTATTAATACCACTTTACAATGCCAATTCTGCTGACCGTTGGTTGTGTAGGTTCTTGTGTAGATTCCTATGAGCGATAAATCAGTTTAACTGGAATTTAAGGTGTTGTCCCGATTCTTCATTGCTGAGAATTCAACTGTGAAGCACCAAGCAGTTAGCAAATTAGCTCTCTGATTTATATTTTTTTAAAAAAAAATTAAATTTTCTATTGCTTTTTCACCTTTCTGCCAGAGGTTTGCATCAGCTAGTAATTTAAAATTAATTTTATAATTAATTAAATTAACTTTAAAATTATTTAAAATTAACTAATTTCAAGTTAATTACTTAAAACCTTGCGTGTCCATCTGGATTGTTTTAGTGAGCCAAAACCAAGGAGAATATTTGTTGTGTGGTCGCTTAGAGTTGAGGCTGGTTTGACCCTTCCCCAATCAATCAATTAAAAGCATTTTCTTCCTGTAGTTTTTAATTTTTTTCTTCCTATAGATTAACTAAACTGCAGGGCTGATGACTCAACAGAAACAGTGCTAACACTTCCTATCCAATTTTTAGAACTTTTAAGTCAGCGTTTCTCAACCTTGGTGACTGTTAGATGAGTGCATTTCAATTCCCCAAATGCTGTCTGGGGAATTCTGGGAATTGAAGTCCACTCCTCTCACAGTCATCAAGGTTGAGAAATACCGTTTTTAAGCTGACTTAAGTTGGAAAAATTATGCATACATGACGTAGAAGCGAAAATGCAAAAGTGTAATAATTTGAGATGTATTTTAAAAGCGTGTGATTAAAGACAGCGTTCAATCACACTGTGGATGCAAATTTACACTGGACACTGTGGATGCCAATTTACTTCCACATTGCTTGGTTGGGGTGTGTTGGCTAGAAAGCCAAATGGGTACACTAGCTATTTTTGGGTCTGTGAATGTGGTGCTTTTTGGCGATTAAAGAAATTACATCAAAAATGTAAAACTGGGGTTGTGTTCTGAAGTATTCTGCCTGGCCAGATTTGCAAAGGTTGCTTCTGAGTAGCCAGCAATGGCCTTTTCCAACAGAAATCAATTAAAAGCAGTGACAGCACAGTACTTTAAAAGCAGAGATCAAATCGCAAACTGGTCGTGTTTCTTAATAGTGCATATGAGTGTATTTTTGTATTGTCCCTGGAAAATCACTTTAAGGCCACTGGACTTGGTTGTATTTGCCCCCCAAAAAGGGGGGTGGGAATCACTCTGGAAATCACTCGAGGAATCTGAGGGGGGAGATATGTCCAAAATATCTACACCGAAATAATTTCAGATTTGTTGTCCAAGGCTGTAGTTTGGATTTTGCTTTCGCTAAAGCTCAGGATGTGGCTTCATACAACTTCTGAAACGTGGGTGCGATTTAACTAATTCAGGCTATTTCATCTTCCTCCCTCCCTCCCTCCCTCCCTCCATCTCTCCTTCTTATCCTTCCTTCCTTTCCTCCCTCCCTCCTGCTTTCCTTTCTTCCATCCAGTTTCCTACCTTCCTCCATCTCTCCCTCTTATCCTTCCTTTCCTCCCTCCCTCCTCCTGCTTTCCTTTCTTCCATCCAGTTTCCTTCCTTCCCTCCCTCCCTCCCTCCCTCCATCTATCCCTCTTATCCTTCCTTCCTTTCCTCCCTCCCTCCCTTCCTCCATCTCTCCCTCTTATCCTTCCTTCCTTCCTTCCCTCCTTCCTGCTTTCCTTTCTTCCGTCCAGTTTCCTTCCTTCCTTCCCTCCCTCCCTTCCTCCATCTCTCCCTCTTATCCTTCCTTCCTTTCCTCCCTCCCTCCTGCTTTCCTTTCTTCCATCCAGTTTCCTTCCCTCCCTCCCTCCCTCCCATCCTGTTTTGTTGGGTGTGTTTGAAACAATAGAGACTGTGTGTCTTGTGTTAAACAATATTCAGCTCTGCTTGCTTTTTAAAAAAACCTTGCAGCACTGATGGAAATGGGGGCGCAAACCCTATTCCTAATATGAATTCTTTTTTAAAACTGTCTCCTTCTGCATCCTCTCCTCGAAGGGAATTATATGCCCAGTTCTTGAAGGAAATGATTATCCAGCCGGGAATAGCTAAAGCTGAACTTGGAGTCTTCAGAGAGGATGTCACCTTGGACGACCATGTAAGGACACCCCCAATTAGCCCTTTTCTTCTAATCACGATCAGCAGGAGACAGTGAGTTCTAGTCCCGCCTGACGGTCAGAGGAGCCAATCCCTCTCTCTTGCCCACCTCCCAGGATTGTTGTTGTGGGGGAAATAGGAGGAGGAAGGCCTGTTGGAGACGTTCCCCCCCTTTGAGTTATTTGCAAAAATAATAAACTTAGGATATAAATAATAACATCAATAAAATAAAATCTGTGTTTCTGCTCCCAGCTTGGTTTTTGACTGCCTCTTCTCTCCAAATCTTTCTCTCCAAAGCCGCTGAATCCCAACCCCAACAGCCAGTGGAACGCTTACTTCAAGGACAACGAAGTCCTGTTGCAGATCGACAAGGATGTCCGGTAGGTCAGCCCCCCCCCCCCCCCCCCCCAAAAAAAAAAAAATAAAATCAGGGGATATAGGCAGTTCCAATGAGTAGAAAGATTCATTGCCAGATTAAGTCCTCTAGAAGAAGAACCTGGCCAACTGGCCCTTAAGGGAAATGAGCGGGAGATAAGAAGGGCAGTCAAAGTGGGCTAGACTTCGATCGCTTGCGGGCGTGCAGGGACTCATGACTTATGACGCCTTTGACCCCTTCCTCAGCCTGGTCATCTCCCACATCCAGGGACCCATAAAGTTGTTAGTCCCAAACTAGGGCTTCCTTGAGCCATGGCTGTCAGCTCCAATCGAGAAGGAAATGTCGGGGGACAGCTTCAGAGCCGTCCTTCTCTTAAAGCAACTTATCCAGGTGTTATTACCACAGGCTCTCTTTGAGAAACCTGGTTTCTTTTGCGCCCCCCCCCCCCATAGGCGACTGTATCCCGATATGGCTTTCTTCCAGCGCCCGACGGAGTATCCTTGTCTGTTGATCCTTGACCCCCAGAATGAATATGAGACTCTTCGCAAGCGGGTGGAACAAACCACCCTCAAATCGCAGACGGTGGCACGGAACCGAAGTGGGGTAACTAATGTAAGAGAATAATTTCGGGCACGAGGTTGAGGGGTGGGGGCGAAAGCTTGGCCCCCTGCCAGCTTTTGGGGGACGAACGAGCAGATTTTGAGTTTCGGGGAATGTGTCATAGGTGGCCTCATAAAAGACGACTGCTTGGAGCCAGTCATAATATTTATTATTTGTTTATTTGTTGAATTTATATTGGCGCCTACTTGCCCATGGCGACTCGAAGCGGCTTACAGAATGTAAAACCATATTTTAAAAAAAATACAAAAAAAACTAACAAAAAGAATCAAATAAAGTACAATAGTACAATAAAGTACAATAGAACAAAATCTGGGGGGTTTGGAAATACAAAAGTTACAAAAGTTGGTTTAGTGTTTGAAGTTTACAACGGTACGAAAAGTGACTTTTGATCCGTTGTCCGTGGAGCTGCGGTGATGATTGTAACTGCTAGGACTGCTTGTTAAGTCACCTTTTTTTCAGCGGACATTGTAGCTTTGAACATTCGTTAAGTGAATGTCATGCCCTTGTTGGAATCTGATTCTGAGGGGGAGGTTGAGCAGCTGACAGGGAGTGGGAGTGTGGCTCCGGTGGCTGTGAAGAAACGGGGGAAGGGCACAGTCCGGCTGGGCATTCAGAAGAAGACCCAGGTCCACCCCCTCTTCATCCTAGGGTACGCAGGGAGGAACGGAGAAGGGAGCAACATGGCTTCCGGGAGAGGAAAAGGCCCTGATCCCTTTCACTGGTTGCAGCTGGGAGAACAGGATATAAGAAGGGCGTTTGCACATGGCTCCTAGCTGGAAGCAAAGCATGCATTATCTTTGTCGAGGCTTATCTGGGTTTTGGCGTCCTGTCCTCCCAACTGTGTGTGTGCTACGTTATCTTTTGGAAGTCTGCAATTTGTTCTCCTGGCCTGTCCGTGTTAATTTACTTCAGCGTGGTTTGTGTTGTTGTTTTTTATTTCTACTTTATCTGTACTTTGGGTTTGGGCTGCGTTTCTTCCCTTTGTAGACTGTTTTTTGGAAGAGTTTCATCTCCAGCCGAGAATAACTGGACATTGGGGGCCAAGTTGGAGGTATTAAAGGGAATTTATCTACTTTTGTGCTGTAGTTATTTTTGTGCCACGCCCCTTTGGGTCATCACAGTGAACGGTTGTAAGTTGAGGAGTCCCTGTACCCATAAAAAGATGCCGGACCCCCCATTTTTGCAGGTGAGCTCCCCTCTTAAAGCACCGGTGCTGAATGAGTACGAAGTTCTCCCTGATGGCTTCGAAGCCCACTGGGAAGTTGTGGAACGAATCCTGTTCATTTACGCCAAGCTGAACCCCGGAATCGCTTACGTCCAAGGGATGAACGAAATTGTGGGACCCCTCTATTACACCTTTGCGACAAACCCCAACAGCGCATGGAAAGGTAAGGGGGGGGGTGGAGAGTTCCTGCCGCCTTTTGGTCTGATTGATCTACAGAGAAGACAGCTAACGGTATGAAAATATATTAAAAGGAGCACACAAAACTATGATACCCGTATGATGGAAATACGTAGTCAATTTCGTACGGTGTGAGGAATTCAAGAAGCTTTATGCAGGTGGTCCTCGACATGGCCACAACTGAGTCCAAAATTTCTGTCATTAAGCGAATTATGCTCCATCTTATGATCTCTCTCGCCATGGCTGGTGGGGACTAGAACTCCCCTATCTCCTGGTGATTGGCCCAAAGTGAATCCCTGCAGTTGTTCAGTTAGTAACACGGTTGTTAATCCAGCTTCTCTGTTGACTTTGCTTGTCAGAAGGTCACAAAAGGGGAGGAGGGGGTCACGTAACTCCGTGACACTGGAACTGTCATAAGTACAAGTCCGTGGCCAACACCTGAATTTTTATTACACGATGCTGATGATGCAATGGTCGTCAGTGTGAAAAACGGCCATAAGTCGCTTTTTTCAATGCCGTTGCAATTTTGGTCACTACATGAACTGTTGTAAGTTGAGGACTACCCGTATTATCTTCCACATTTAAACGGTCGTGGCAGATGCCATGCAAGGGGCGGGTCGTATTCCGTTTCTCAGCCCTGGCAGGTGGCATTGAAGCCTATTAATTTTTTCAGATAGATTCTCCCCCCCCCCCCCCCGAATCTGGACGTTGGATAATCCAGATTACTGACAGTCTCCCTTTCTGTGCACAGAGCACGCCGAAGCCGACACCTTCTTCTGCTTCACCAACCTCATGTCTGAGATCAGGGACAACTTCATCAAGAGCCTGGATGACTCCCAGTGTGGGATCACCTACAAGATGGAGAAGGTCTACGTCATCCTGAAGGAGAAAGACAGGGAGCTGTACATGAAGCTGGTGAGAAGTTTGCAGATTGAGCCAAAGTGACCCTTCTTTGGGGAACTTTAAGGGGAAGGTCCATCGTGGTCAGCCAAGTCAAGGTCGGTCTAAGTCCGTGATGACGAACCTACAGCACGCATGCAAGCCCCAAGCAAACTTAACCTCGTTGCGCATGTGTGCACCTCCCCGCTGATTTTTGGGCCGTTTGAGGCCTTTTTCGGCCTCCCAGAGGCTTGAGGGAAGCCTCTGCAGTCTTTGCAGGCTGAAAAAATAGGCCCATTTCATCACTTCCTGTATTTCCCTCAAGCCTCTGGGAGGCCGAAAAAGGCCTCAAACAGCCTGGGAGGCGCGCACAGGTGGTGGTGGGCCACGCGCATTGCCTTCTGGGTGCTGGCACGCAAGTACAAGCGCGCGCACAATTTTTGGCCCAGGAACCCAAAAAGCTTACCCACCATTGGTCTAAATGGTGGCTGGGTGACCGATCTATCTATCTATCCATCCACCCATCTATTCATCCATCCATCTATCCATCCATCTATCTACATGTAAAATAATCTTTACAATGTTTACAATATATAATTTTATTATTATTAAAAGGAAGTCCTGGATGCTTTCCTTCTCCTTCCCGCGTTTTCTAGCGCAGAACTGCGCCAACGCTTTATTTTCTCTTTCCAGCAAGAACAGAACATCAAGCCTCAGTTCTTCGCGTTCCGCTGGCTAACGCTGCTGCTCTCACAAGAGTTCCTGCTCCCAGACGTCATTCGCATCTGGGACTCCCTCTTCGCCGATGACAGCCGCTTCGACTTCCTCCTGCTGGTCTGCTGCGCCATGTTGACGTGAGTTCAGAGCTACACATCCTAAAGAAGGAAGCACAGGGACCTTGGAGGAGTGGCTCTCGCCCTTGCTTTCAATGGGACATAGTTGCTTCCACTAAATTCCCCGGCCAGCTAGGGTTTAAGGCACCAGGCTAGAAACTGGGCGACGGGGAGTTCTAGTCCCGCCTTAGCCATGAAAGGCAGCTGGGTGACAGCCACCTGGGGATTGGGCCAATCATCTGAAGGCTGTGAGTTCTAGTCCTGTCTTAGCATGAAAGACGGTTGGGTGACTTTGGGCCAGCCACACTGGGAGACAGTGAGTTCTAGTCCTGCTTTAGGCACAAAAGCCAGCTGGGTGACTTTGGGCCAGTCCCCCTCTCTCTCTCTCCGCTCAACCCACTTCACAGGGTTGTTATTGTGGGGAAAATGGGAGAAAAGAGCATTAGATATGTTTTATATTGATATATAACGATAAAGGAGGTGTATAAGTAAAATAAATTAATACAAATAAAAGGCTGTTTTGTCGTTTCTGCCTCTTGCATTGTCCATCCTCGATCCCTTTCCTGTTGGATCCCAGTGGATCCGAGCTAAGTCCATGTTTTTCTCTGTCGTTATCCTACAGGCTCATCCGGGATCAACTACTGGAAGGGGATTTTACTGTAAATATGCGGCTTTTGCAGGTAAGGGAAAGAGGGGAAGGCAAAATATTTTTTCTTCCTGGTTGAGAACAGCCTCAGCCACGACTGTGTTCGTATCAAGCCAGCTTTTGTTTTAACTGTGGCTTCTTGAACAAGCTGTACTAGCTCTTACCAACGGGGAAAATCACCGTGGCCAGTTGTTTTCGAGGCCTCTCTCTTTTTTTTTTTTGTTATGTAGGAAAGTCACAAAACGAGATGCCCAACTTAACCGCCTTTGAGGTTTCAGTTGCCAAAAACTTTCTGGAATCCTCTATTCTATTGTTGTAACGTTGCTGTTCTTCTAATGGTGGAGGGGGGAATTACAGGGGGTGCTTGACTTACAACCATTTGTTCAAAGATCCCACTGCTTGCCAACATTATGTCGGTGGCCAAGCTCCCAAATTTTGATCAGGTGACTTTGGAGGTCTTGCCACAGCCATGTAGGTTCCAGT